CCAACAACTTCCCTCCGTTCCCAGAAACCCTTTATCCCATTTTATAAACATGCGCACTGATAGACCCAGGGCTCAGTAACTTACCTGAAACCGGGTACCTGGCAAGTTCTGCAGGCAGGATTTCAGGAAGGCCCTTGACTTTGAGCTCAGAGCTCACTGCACCCAGTATCCCCAAACCTCAGCTCCACAACCCTGCTTAACCACCAAGCAGAAGTCAAAGGCGGGAGGGAGGAGCATTTGCTTTGCTACCAACTGGTAACGTTCAAACTTGGGTCAAATACCGTTGTTCATCTGCTACAGGTTCAGACTGAAATCTGTGGTTCTCTTGATCTAAAAGTTCTTGAAAAGAAAAAAAAACATCTCTGCCATTCTGATTCTCCAACAAGGAGAATTTGGCAAGGCCTACTGGGGTCTATCCCTCTCTCTGATGGAGAATTTAGCTGCTTCCAATTCTGTACATAGAATCATAAAGACGTGGCCTAAACCAACAGGCAGAGGAGCCCCTGCCCATCCAGCTCTCACTGGAAACAGGTTGTCCTCTGGACTCCGGCTTCTTTTGACCACAGTCAGCTATGCAGCTGGGAAGACAGAGTGTTTAACTTCTGTCCTAGGACGGTGTGTCATGGTCTTATTTTGTTTTTATATTAAATATATTCAGTTTTTATTATATATCAAGTATACCTCAATGAAGCTCCAAAAGCTCTCTATAAATGAAAAGATATAACCTATTGATGGTACTTGAGAATCAGCACTCTCAAAATGAATTTATAGATGCATCGTAATCCCAATAAAAATTCTAGAGAGTTTTCTAGAAGGAAAAAAAAAAAAAAACAGTGTTGCCCAGGCCTTATCCCAAAATAATTAAACCAGAACTTTAGGTATAGGGCCTGAGAGTTTTAAAAATATATTTTATACCTTTTTTATTTGTTTTCATTGCCATAATAATTTTATGTCTTTGTAGGATACATGGTAATGTTTCAAAGCATGTAATGTGTAGTGATCAGATCAGGGTAATTAGCATATCCATCATCTGAAATTAATTTGTGTAGGGGACATTTAATAACCTTCTAGCTTTTTGGAACGATGTAATATAGTGTTGTCCTACAGTGCTGTGGGACGCAGGACCTGGTCCTCCCACCCAGCTGTGACTCTGCGCCCTTTAGCCCGTCTCTCCCTGTCCTCCCTTCCCCGGCTCTTCCAGCCCCCAGTATCCTCTGCGCAGCTTTTTACTTCTATGAGATCAACTATTTTTAACTTTCACGTAGGAGCGAGAAGATGTGGTGTTTAACTTTCTGTTCCTGGAGGTCCTACTTTTTCCTCCCTTACAGGAGGGCTGGACCCTGATGCTGCACCATCCTCCTTGCTCTTGCCCATTGCTGACCTTGAACTCTGGAGTCCCATGAGGCCTTGTGTGTTCCTACGGTGCTCAGATCTGGCTCACATGGATCCAGTGCCTCTCACGGGCCAGTCCACAGTCTCCCAGGCTGTTCCCTCTGGTCTGAGATCACATGATGAGCCCAGAGCAGCAAACGAAGCTCACAAAGGTGGACACCGCACGCTGGCCACACAGCTGACCAGTCATGGGAGGGAAGATGGACTCGCAATTTTTGCTTCCAGTTCTGGTGTTCTTTCCAGACTAAACATCACCAAATGCCCAGTCCTCTGCTAAGGCAGTCTTAGGTTCTTCCTGATCTGGAGCCAAAGACACTCCAGCCCTTCCAACTCAGCCAGACGCCTGGTACGGCCCTCTCCTGCCCTGCTGGCCTTGGGTCCCCACCTCTGTAAAAGGCCAGACCCCATATTTCCACCTTGACTAAAGAGACGCCACTTGTTCACACCTCACGCCTGTTCCTTGCACGTTCTCAGGAGCAGAACTCGTCAGTGACTTTATCTGCCTTTCTCTGCTTTCCCCAGCATGGACAATGTGGTGGGAAAATGAGAACAATATCCCAGTCGGCCAAGTTCACGTCTAAGCCACACTTACCTGCAGAGGGGTGTGAGAGAACTTACCATACCCGCGGCTCCTCACGCGCTGTGCCACTGCTGGTGCTGCGATGGGATCCCGGGCTTCCCAGACTCCACACAGGACCTGGAACGCTGTGAGGTCACCTGTGCCGCAGGACAGAGGCCCAGTGCAGGTGGCCTCCTGGGCTGGCCTTCTGTGTTTGCCCCCTGTCCCCGCCCTGCAGCGAACCCCATCGCCGCCTCCCCCTCTGTCTGCTCCTCCAAATCCTCCCTCCAAGCCCAATTCACATGGTGGCTTCTTGGAGAAACTTTCCTCTTTTCCTATTCTGCTAAGGAGGAATCTGGGGACCAGGGGGATTCAATAACTTGCCCCAGGTGACACAGCTAGGGCGGGAAATGCAGATTTATTTGATCTGTAAGGAGCGAGTCTGTGGGATTCCAAAACTGAGGACTTTTCCACCACACACTCCCCTCCCCGAGAGGAAGCAAGGATGGCATCGCACCCCAAGCACCAGGTGCCAGAGCCCTCCGAGCTCCCCTTTCTGCCCACGTGGAAGAGGGGCTTCCCGCCACCGAGGACAGGGCCAGGCACACTGGGTGTCCAGGTAGTCCCATTGATAAAGACAATCAATGACAGCAGCTGCCACTACCGAGACCAGCTGTGGACAGAGCACTCTGCAGCCCTTACACGCATCCTCCTGTTTAATCTCCCCCCACTTCCATGTTAAGTCTTATTCCCGTTTTCAGAGGGTGACTGCTTAGAAAGCCCCCCTGAGCTGGCACTTTCCCACACTTTAGCCACTCAAGGGGTGGCTGGTTATTCCTACAGGACACTTAGCAAAATTGGGGCCACTGGGCCTTGTATGGGCAAAGTTCAGAAGAGAGCCCAGACCTGAGAACTCGGAGCCTCTGGGCCACTCTGCTGCCACGAATGCGGTCTGAGTTGGAGACCTTCCCGCAGGGTCTGGGCTGCCCACATCAGGGTGGCCTGAGCTGGTTCCTATCATTTAACTGAGTAGGGGGAAGGAGGCAGGTGGGGATGGGCACAGGGCACACTCACAAGAGGACAGAGACCCGAAGACCCCATGAGGAGCTGGTCACTGCTTTAAGGGGTGATGAGGTGAGTCACAGAGGATGCTCGGACGAGTCATAGGCTTCAGGCCAAGACCTGGGGGAGGGGATGCCTCTGTCATAAGCTGTGTGTCCCGGGCAGGGAACTTAACCTCTCTGAGCCTTTTCCTTTAACTCTCTCTTCGGGATGGTAAAACAAAGACTTGTTTCTTCATTCCCCAACTTGTTTATCAAGCTGGCACCCTTCCCGGCTGTGGGCACAGCCGTGGGCAAGGGAAACCAGAGCCTGATCTCCTGGAACTTTCTTCCCAGGGAGAGGAAGCAGAAGATGAAACTGCAAATGAATGATAAATGAGATGTTTTCAGGTCGTGGTAACCTGAGAACTGTCACAGACATGAAAGGGGGGGAGAGGGAGAGAAAGGATGGCTGAGTGGTCCCTCCTGACTCTGTCCCTCACCCCACCCCTACTGCCTGCAGGGGAGCCAGGACAGAACTTTTATGACATGCTTATGCTTATGTCTTCCTCTACGTGGGCGTGAAAGCTCCATCCTGTGTTTCTTCTGGCCACATGCCCCTTCCCTGCCCCAAAGACACCGAAGCAGTGGTCTTGCTGTTAGTCATACCCTCATATTCTGCCTACTGCAGGGGACAGAATCTTCAGCTCTGGGCACGGTTGCTGTGCAACTGGCTCTCCCATCTCACAGCCCTGGAAGCCCCACAAGCCAAGGCAGAGACCCAGGTGCAAATGTACAACATCTGCACCCACCTATGGCCACATGGTCACCTCCCACCCCGTCCCAGAAGCTGAGGATCAGAGGGAAGACCAGCGGGACCCAGAGTATGGTGTAAATTCCAGGCAGAGGGACAGAGGGTGGGGCTGTTCTGATTTGCACCTGTGGAGCTTTGTGGAAAGTGAGAGTCTGAGCTCAGTTTGGAGATTGCAAAAGTGGGAGTGATGCGGTTTGGCAGTGGAGATGGTGGGAGGTGCTGCCCCAAGGGGTGAGCTGGAGCCAGCAGGGGTGCGGGGGCAGGGCAGGCCAGGCTACAGCAGGGGCATGGATGGGATTTGGGCAGTTGGAGCACACACGGAAACTGTCTCCCAGAGGCAGCACCCCCCCCCCCCCCCCCCCCGTGGGCTTCCAGATAATGGGATGGCATCCTAACAGCCCCCCCACCCATGGGCTTCCAGATAGGGGGATGGCATCCTAGCAGCCCCCCCTGAGTGGGCTTCCAGATAAGGGGATGGCATCCTAGCAGCCCCCCCTGGGTGGGCTTCTGGAACATGCAAGTGGCCTCCAAAGGGCCCTGGGGCCATTTTAGAATCACTCATTACAAAACTGGATAGAACACAAAAGACCATCTTATCTAATTTAATTCCCTCACTTTACAGATGAGGAAACTGAGGGCCAGAAAGGAAAGGTTCCCACTCTCTAAGATCATTCAGCTCCTAAGTGTCTGCCTTGAGCTCTGACCCAGGTTTTTGGCACCTGGGTGGTGATTTCCTCTGCCCCACTTCTCATCTACTTTGTGCCCTGCGGCCCTGAGCCCAGCACACGTGCAGAGTGAGGGATGAAGGGGCGCAGCTTGTCCATTGCCATCCTGCAAAGTCAAGTGCAGCCCACTTGGCTTCCCGGAGAGCAAGAGGAGGATCAGGTTTCCATATTTGTTGTAAGAGGAACTGAAGTCATCCAGCCCCAGGGGTGTTGCAAAGCCCAGCAAGTTTCCCCAGTGTGGATGACAATACCCAGTGGCGTGGCCTCTCGTTTGCTGAGAAGACAAAAGACCATCTCTTCCACTTAGGGAAGTGATGTGACTTCTGACAACCCACATGCTCTGGTGAGCCTCAGTGTTCTTACCTGTACAATGATCTGTGCCACTCCCACATCACTTAGTTGCTAGAACAAAAATAAAATAAGTACTATGAGAACTACACCGCTCTGTATTCTGTTTGTCTCCGCATCAGTCACCACCACCACCATCACCCTGACCCTCGGGGAGCTGAAGATGTACAGTTATCTCAGATCTCGGTATGCATAACCCTACTTAGTAACTGCCAAGTGCCTCCGGTAATCCATAACGATGTGGATTCAGACACCTGGACTGTCCAAGGTTGGAACTTGCAGTTGGAGCAATTTGGGGAGAGGACTGCTCTGGTCCCAGCAGGTTCTATGAACAGCGATCGCTCACCAGAAGGTAGAACCAACAGGGGCTGAGCGTGGAGTGGGAGGATCCAGAGTTCATGGCTGGCGGGGCTTCCTGCTGCCCTGGTGATGCTCTGATAGCAGGCGGGTCCCAAGTAATGTGTTCCTTGTACTACGGGTCAACCCTCCACACACACGGCAGTGTGTCCCCCAGGCAGGGCAGAAAAGACAGGCTCCTGGGTCTGGAGGGAGGTGAGCTCACAGGGGATAGGTAAGGAGGGCAATCACCTGAGCCGGTCAGGGCTGTGGCTGGTCCAGGATGTCTCCTGCATTCAGTGGGTGAGTGTGGTAAGCCAAGAGCCATGTCATTCGTGATGCATTCTCTCCCTCTAGAGACCCTACACACACACACATTTCAGAAAGACATGGCAGCAGTTTACAAAGGTGGCCTTAGCGGGCCTTGGCTGGGAAGCGGGCAGGCACGTGTTCTGCAGCCTGTGTCGTGTTGTGACACACTGACCGTGCACAGATGACCGTGGGGCGGTGGACCCAGCCCCGCAGGCCAATCTGCCCCCTGTGGTCTCACACGGCGCAGACTCTCCTCACCTGTGTGTCTTGCTGGTTCACACACGGAGCGCCTCCCTTCCCCTTTTGGTCAGAGTCGTCCTGTGACACAGTCACGTTTGGGATCATGAAGGGAGCTCTGGATGGAGCATCCCATCCCATTTAAGGGGACTAAGGGACAGCAGCTCAGAGGCAAGTGACGAGCTCAAGGTCAGGGGCAAGTTGGAGGCAGCTTCCTGGCTCCTGAGCTGGCTGTTGGGACGCACACTTGGTGTCTTCACGTCTCGACCCTCACTAACAGATGGCTGTCCTCCGCAGCTTCTAACCCTGGTCCTGCCTGCTGCTGAAGGCCTCCTGGCTCCAGTACCCCTGCCATTCCTATCTTGTGACTGCCTATGTCCCTGTGCACCTGGGTCCCTCTTCTGAGCTCCCCTATGGACAACGAGGACAGCAGGCCTTCTGGGGAGCACTACCCAGGTGACCTACTCCCATCCCTTGGCATCCCCTTTGCTCTAGCACAGCTCCCAAAGGGTGGGCTGCAGAATCACAGCACTCCCATCCCAGGGCCCCGGGAGCTCTGGTGGCCACCGGGAGGTCAGGGGTGTGGAGCAGAGGGCCGGGTGGGGGTGGGGGTTGGCAGCAGTGGCCATCCCCAGCCTGAATGAATGGAAGTCCCGGCGGAAACACCTGGTGGTGACGGAAATCCAGGACAACTTTTATTATCCCTGTTCACAGGTCCATTCAGACTATATTGGGGGCTTCCTATTTCCTCTGCTGGCACCTCACACTCATTCATAACAAGAAAGGCCATTGTACTCCTGAGTTATGGGCCGAGGAGCCCACGGGGCGGGCATTAAACACAGCGGCCCTGAGACTTATTTTTAAGATTGTATTCCCTGCTGAGCTGTGGGTTCTTATTTTTTCCTCCTCCCACCAAGAAAACTTAAGAGGGTGGTTTGCCCCAACTGGGAGGGTGAAAAATAACTGTGAAGTCCCTTTCCAATGCCCTTCACGGACAGTCCTGTGGGCTCCTGTGAACGGCGAGGGGACGCCCCAGCTGCAGGCCCAGCTTCCAGTCCTGGCTGTCCACATGGTCTCTGGTTGGCACCAGGTGAGGGATTTGACCAGTAGTTTGGTTCGCAACGGTCAGATGAGGGAGCGGGCCAGGTCCCTGGTGTCTGTGTCAGTTCCCACAGTTGTAAATACATATGGCACATCCTGAAGAGGAAAATCCCGTGGCCATTCCTCTCCCTGCTGGAGTCAGCCCCGCACCCTTCAAATTACAGATTCCAAAAGAGACCACCTCGGCTGGCACCCCCTAGTCATAGGAATCGGGGGGCTGCAGGGAGCTGTGTGCTTAGGCTCCATTTCTGGGCAGACCCTCAGTACAGAGGCATCTGGCGTTAGGAGCCACCAGCTGTCAAGGCCCCACCTCTGCTGGGGTCAGCTCTGGGGCAGGCGCTCCCCCAGCCTCGGTCTCCCACTTGACCATGGCCCTGTGTTGCTGGCGAGCCTCACGATCGATTCTCGAGTCACATGGGCAGCTGGGCAGCTGGCAAAACGCACATGTGGACACCTATATTCAGTGGCACACCTGACGGAGCACACAGCCACCTGTTCATTTACTCTTAGTCATCGTGTTAAAAAAAAAATTATTCTGACGGTTGTGAAGGAAGACTTTGCTCAGAACTCTCCCAAGGGCTGTCCAGACAACCCACTAGTGAAGAGAGATGGGGCTCAATGCACAGCAGGTGCCAGAGGGGGCGGCTGGGGAGATGGGGGATGGAAAATTACCAAGAGGAGTTGTCAGGGGAGGAAGGTTCTGGCTAAACTGACCTAACGGGATTCTTGCTGAAGGCAGCCAAGATGTCCAGGGCAGGCAGGGGGTGGGGGGCAGGTGGGCAAGGACGAATTTGATCAGCTACTAAAGATGAGGCCATGATGGCGGGGGGAACCCCAGTAAAATTGAAACCAGCAAGGATAGAAACGGAAACCCGAAGAGGAGGCCGCGTGGAAGAAAGGGCTCTGAGGAGGCTGGCTGGCGTTTGGTCAAGGACACGGCTTTGTCACAGCCTTGTCCTAAACATGGGGGGTGGGTCTGCCGGGGGATATCGTGACTTTTCCTCTGGGTCTCAGCAATCCTGCTCTCCTACCCTTCTCGAGCAGACAGAGGGCCTTGGCCTGGGTGGGTGTTGGGTCTAGACCCTGACTCAGGGGCTACCTGGCTCCATGTCCAAGGTTGGAAGAGGTGAGGACAGCCCAGGCTTCCAGGGCTCCCCGAGTACCTCTCCCAGCCCAGATCACTGGCAGCACCCTGTGTGGTGGCCACTGGGAAGCTGGTACCTCCAGCACCTGTGCAGATGGTCACTGGGAAACTGGCATCTTTTTATTCTTCCTTCTCAGTTGCTCAGAGCTGAGGAGAAGGGCCACCCAGACTATTCAGTCTGGGGGGACAGAGCTGGTGTGGAACCTGCCCTCTGCTGTCCTGCAGGGGCTCAGTGAATAGCCAATGCATGAGCAAGTGACCAAGGGGTGAATGCACAGGGAGAGGAGGGGAGAAGCAGGGTGGGGCTGTCCACACCCCGTGAGGTGACACTCTGCAAAGTTGTTGGGCCCTGGCCCCCTACAGGCTTCTTGGTTCTGATCTGGGATTTTGCTAGTTGGAGGGGTATTGCTAGAATTGAAAAATAGAGAATAAAACCTGCTGGTAACCCTAACTTGCTCTTAGTTCTAAAATCCAGTGGTTGGATTAGAGCTGGTTGGGGGTGGGACGGCTGAGCAAAGAGGTCTCTGTAGGCAGGCGGAGGGAAGGGGAGACCATGTGCTCCCAGGGAACACCCCAGCTCTGCTCCCTGTGGCCCTGGGCTGTTGCTCATCCTCTGCGGGGACTGACACATGTACTGTGAGCCATGCTTCTTGGTCATCTCCTCTGCCCCATCAACTGCCACAAACGCCCTTCCATGGGCGTTGACATGGTAACATTTCACATCTCAGGACCTTGGGGAGCAGAGAGATCAAGTTTGCCCTAAGCCACATGATTGCAAAGTGGCTGGTCCAGGATCCCAGCAGGGGCGCCCCAGGCAAATTGCAAAACTGGAACAACACTGTCTACTCTGCCTCAGTGCCATTGTGTGCAAGGGCTTCCTGGGATGACCCACGTCATTTCTGGTTGGAAGATTCCCATTCCCTCCACTCCAGACAGTCCCTGTCACTACAAAACCGTGGGGCTTCCTTGGGAAAAGCAAGCAAACCAACAATGAGCCAAAGGGCTGGGAAGCAGAAGCAGCAGACGCATGCACATGGCATGTACACACACGTGCACATGTCCTTACACACATCTACATGCACACATACACGTGTGAACACTCAGGCACACCTGCACCCACGTGTACACATGTGTGTACACTCATGCACACCCACACACATGTGTACACTCACGCACACCATGTGTACTCTCATGCACACACATTTGTATACTCACGCACACCCGTACACACGTGCATACGCTCATGTACACACGTGCACAGATGCACATACACATATGCATACAAATGTGTGCACTCCTGCATACACACACCCCATGCAGACACATGTATATGTGTGTGTGCTCATAGGCATAAGCATGCATACCTATGCACGGACACCTGTGTGAGTACACGCACGTGTGTGCACACACAGCAAGGGAGTTTGGGGTCAGTGCTGGCTCCATACCTGCTTCCTAAGAAGGCTCTTGCCTACCCTTGAGGCCTCTCTGGTTTGGGATCAGCAGCCTTTCTGAGCTGTCACTAAGCCCTAAGCACCCCAAGACCATCCTCTCTCCCCCACCCAGCTGGGCTGGTCCTCCCATTGCACCATCCATCTCCCAGGAGGGGACCTTCCCTCTCCTCAGCTAGTTTCTGTCAGTGTCACACATCTCACTGTCCTTGGACCCAGGCCTGACTGAGACCTTGACCAAAAGCCAGGGATGGCCCTGGATAGGCTTCAGGGCTCCCAAGATGCCAATAGGTTGTACACTGAAGAGACCACCAAGGGGAGTCATGCTCCCCCAGGGAGAGTTCTGAGGCTCTCCTGGTCCCCATCCCACTCTTCAGGTCCCACTGCCCATCCCTTGGAGGCATCACTCTGGTGCATAAAATCAGAGCTCCTGCATGAGGGCAGGGGCGCTATCCTCCTTGAGCCCTGTCACAGCCCCAGAGTGCATGGGTGTGCCTGAAGCTCGGTCCTCTGCAAACTTGTCCTCCACTGCAGAGTAGAAACCTCCCGGTCAGGAACTGTAGGGAGATGGCAGGGGCACAGAGTGTCTATGGGGGCACAGTGAGGGTACTGGCACTG